TGATCCGAGGCATTGATGCTGAGTATTCGCACCATTACCTGCACCAGAGCGGCGATAGCTCTCCAAGTCTCCCAGTTTTCGCTGATGCGCCTCAGAGCCGTCTCGATCTTGTCCATAAGGGCTCGACAGAACGTCTCATCCGTGAGGATCTCGTGGGCAATACGCTCTACCTTGTTGTTGCTTGTAGGCGGACCTGCGCGGTGCATGGTCTGCAAAAGCAAGCAATGCGTCTCGATCTTATTCAGGTCAATAGTTGGCATTGCAAGCTGCACGAGAAGATTCTGGTACTGGATTCTGTACCCAATCGGAAGACACCCGAAAGCCTTGTATTCGTCCAAAGAGAAGTGCGAGGGGCAATCGGATAAGCGTGCAATCACCTGGTTCGGGGTTATGGCATTTGATATGGTAGGTGACCTCAAGTAAGCTTGAAGTTGCGACGAGCGAGACGGAAGTTGGTATGTGCACTTTTTGGATACTTGTTGAGTGGACTCCAGAATGGTAATGAAGGTGTTGTACGAGCTGTCGAAGTACTGGTATCGAAGTGCATTTTCAACACAGACATCCTTTTCTTGTAGGAAGTCAACACCCTCTTTGACGCGGTAATGGCTTCCTGTGAGTGGCTTGACCTCGGATACAAGGTTAACACGCCGATCGGACGGGGAGGTCCAAAAACTACTCAGCCCATCTTGCGTGTAGAGATTGTATTTCGCTCTCGGTTCTGTAGTTTTGGCATGAATGAAGCCCAGCACTTCCACTCGTAAGAGCATTGTTGCGTCGCGCCAGTGACTGTAGGCCGTTGGGATCTGTAGTTCAAAAACTGTTGCTTTTGCGATCGCTTCGTCTGAATGAAGCGGCCATTCATGGACATGAATATCGAGTTTTTTAGCTTGAGACCGTAAGCTACATTTCTCGCACCAGGGTGCATGCTCAGTACTACTTGATCTGTAGTACTCGTTGTAAACTACTCGGTAGTCGCAGTCACGCCTATCGGACGCAGCTACAAGGTCGTGATACCGTTGTTTCTTCTGAGCTAACTCGCAGCATTTCTCCTGACGTGCTACCGTTGCCTGCTGCTTGATATCTGAGAGCAACCTATGATGTTCTGGAGATTCATCAAAAAACCTTACTGCGAAGGAACATGGAAAACCAAAGTCGCGGTAGAGGGATGGAGCATCAGCCCTCGTATCTCTTCGGCGGCATTGCAGATAGGCCTCAGCGACCGACAGCCGCCCCAGCTGACTCTTGAAGGGCAAAGAAAGCGAATGGAAAGAGGACAATTCTATCTCTGGATCGAACTCGAGTAGTAATGGATACATCCTACAAGCGCACTTGTCACATGCAATCCACAACTCCGTCACGGTGAGATACATGATGGATAGACTCCTTGGTACATCGCTTGCGGTGCTGTATGACGAGCTTGCCTGGTGGAAATACTCTTGCAAAAGCTGTCGTAGCTTCCCACAGGATGTGTCATCGGACATGTGTCGTTCAGTCCAAGAGGAAAGGTGGTCTTCGACCCATCTCTCCACTGTCGCCAAGTAGAAGTACGTGTATTCTCCTGAGCCGCTGAAGCTGGTGGGCAGCTCATGCTCGGGACATACCAGACATTTTGAAGTCGGTCGAAAATTTGACACACCAGTTCGACGTGTTCTACCAGAGATTTTCGAAACGAAGTCGTCCATCGCCGGGAGATGGATGTCAAGCTCGTTGTCGGGCTGGAGATCGGCGAGCACTGCCATATCTATACGACTACCTGCGGTGTTCGTTACGCGGTCGATCCTAGCGACCATCGATGATCGTGCCTGGTCTAGAAGCGTTTGGGCTGACTTGGTGTAGAGATCGAAGGAGCGTCCGGGAATCAGCTTTCTCAACTTCTGTAAGCGGCCGGTCAACTTGGCGGAGGTGATGTACACCAGGTCGATATCTAGAGTTGCGCACAACACGTTAGCAGGCTACTCGGGCAGTTTAGTACTGCTCGGCCGACAGCGAAGCTCGTGTTATCAGGTTCTAAAACAGAAATAATCACGCCGAACTGATAGCAATATGGGATCGAAAAGCACATTAACACGTGAATTGACCTTACATACCTGTCATCTCGTAATGTGCTTTCACACTCTGGAGGAGACTCGCTAAAAGGTTCACCATGACAGCCTTGTACACGCTCACAGACGACGTGCGAGCGATCTGAAGCTGCATAGTTGTGCGGACAAGGAGCCACAAAGCAGATCTTCTCCATGGCAGGAAGCCGTGTTTGCATAGGACATCTTCGCGAGTGTTTTTCCAGATACCCTGCACGTCAGT